CCATCAGAAAAATTTATGCCATAGACCAAGGAAAACAATAATAAAAGATTTTGATTACAGTAAAAAAGTCAAAACTAACCACATCAATTTAGAGTAGAAACCTATGTTAAGTAATAAAAAATATAAGCATAAAATAAGGAGTACAGAAGTAGTTAACATCAAATAGCAACAAAAGAGAACACTAAAAAAAATGATCACACAAGTAAAAGTATTCATCAAAACTAACCCATGGTAATTAATAAGAAATATAAATATAAAATAAAGAATCTAAAAGTTAAGAACAGTGTTTTAAATGCCGCTCAAGTCTACGTGTAAAAGGGTTTGATATCAATATAGGGGCAGTTGTTTTTTCCCATGTCAACTATATAATAAAAAAAGTTCACCTTTTTTTGATATTTTCAACAATGTCACTGTTTCACCAAAATTATTTTTGTAACAATTATATTGACCTGTCCTATTTTTTATTCCTATTGATTTTTTTAACCTAATTTTACCTATTTTTCTTTTCAAATTTAATTACAAAATTTCTAAATCTATCCTCCCATTTTTAAAAACTCAATTTAATTATCATATGTATTATATATATATTTCATATCTTGTTCAATTATGTAACTAAATACAATATTTGGCTATAAATTATCAATAAAACATAATTAAGCAATATTGAACTCCAATTTATTAATTCAAATTATTTCCATCAATCTTCGTTATCTTGTTCCGACATTTCTATCAACATCAGTACTTTCATAAGTAAGTTACTCATATTTTTAAATATGATGGTTAAAAGTGATCGATTATAGCTTACTTAAGCTAAAATTAAAGTTTTATTTACTAATTAAAACAATTTCTGTTAATTTTCACAATTTCCATGGTTTTTTCCCAAATATCCGTGGACATTGACATGTTAGTAAAATTGGGATCTCGACATTTCTATCGACATCTACATTTCAAATCTTTGTTAAGATAAAGGAAAACAACTATTGGGAGAGGCATATTACGATAAATACGAACATTAAATATAATTTTATACTCTATATCTTCATTGACTAAAATAAGTTTCGAGATTCGCAAATCTTCATTTTGACATGGTTTAATGTTTTCCTACAAAGAGCGGTCCATTATTTTTTGAAAGGTTTGAGTTCATTGATAAAAGAAAAAACCTTCATTTGATATTTTGGGAAAAGAAAAAAAATATAGAATTTTATGTTTGATCAATACTTAGTTTCCTTTCATTTTATAAATTGTTTGTAATCCCATATATATAGTAATAAACACATCATTTCGTCCAACAGTCACATCTTCTTAACTTCTATTTCTAAAAAAAAAAAAATTGGTCTTTTGTTCTATATAAATAATTATGGATCTCAATAACACTCATATATATTCGAATGGATGCACTACTTCCCTCAATAGACACCTCGACCAATCGTATCCTGGAGAAGTATGAAGCACAAAATAGGTATTTATTGAAATATTAAGGGCAAAATTGGTAGGTAAACATTCTCCTTTGTATCCCCATTTATATATATATACTAGTTAATATCATGTGCAATGCATATGGTTTTTTTGAATATTTTAATATAATGTTTCTTACAATTTTACCTATACAATAACAACTAAACACAATTTTTAAATGGTACTAAAATATTTAGTTTTTCAAATAAAATATGTTATTATTTGTTGACATTTTCAATAAGGAAATACAGTATTGCAACTAAAAAATAAGACAATAAAATAAGATGTATAGAAAATATAGAATATAATATAAATTTGAAATAGTTAATGTGGTTATCCGGTTTTAATTAAAAATATTTTTATAAATTTAAAGACACGCAAATAAATTGTTATTTAAGACATAATAAATTAAATCCAATTATGTAACTAAAAAATTAAATAATTTGTTGGATAGTTAAAATTATATAATTAAATATGAGGCAGAGTAGCTATATTAAATAATATGACTTGGCCAAAAAAATCCAATATCATAAAAATGGCAAACAGGCGGTTAGAGTTCAACGCTATAATTTTATTTGGACAAATATATCCATCCATCAAAATAGCTAAAATTATCCTACCATTACCCCCAAAATTTTGTGTCAAAAATACCTTTGATCTTAGGAAATAAAATAGTGAATCTAGATTTTAAAGTTCAAACTTTCCAGAATAAAATCTAGATTTAGAAAGTTCAAAATTGCTAAAATAAAATCTGTTAAATGAATACTTTGAAATAAAAAAAAAGATTAATATGCAAAAGAATACGAAAAATGGACTAACAAAAATAAATTGATGTTGTCGTCGATGGAAAATACTTGAAAGCAGTATTTCCATCCATATATTGATGTTGCCAGACTCATAAAGAAAATTTTAAACGTCTCATCACCATCAACCTCGCTCGTGGGCTGTGTACGTCTCTGCGGACGTATATATGGTAAATACGTGTACAGACAGAATAAAGACAGAGTAAGTAGAAACACATACGGTAATTGGATTTTTCTTGATCATTCTGGCTGCAAAAGACAGGATGAGAGCGTACAACTATTCAGATGACCCCCTTAATGAGTTTAGAGCATTCTCCATTCTCCTCTCCAAGCTTAATAGCTAATATTGATTCCATGCTTCTTCCAAATGTAATCAATTATATATGTCACGTGGACTACAATGTCTCTTGTTGTTCATGCTCAGCATTGTCTTCGCACATTCACTTATCATTGTTGTCGTCGCTTGCCTATATGGTCATTACGAACAACATCAATCGAACAAGTGTGCTCCGGTACGAGTTTTCTAACAATCCATAATTTACCGTCACACTATTGAGAGGAGCCTTATTCAATTCTTCCTTATTTTGGAAAACATAAAATTCTTCCAACGAGAAATTAGAGGGAGACTAGTCAAAATAAATAGGGTCCGTGAAGATAAATTTCTTCCCGTTCTGAGTGATGTCTGCACTTCCGCTACCCCCGTAGATGATGTTATGTACTAGGTTAGTATCCACAATTATGCAGTAGTTGCTGCACATGACATCCGAAAAAACAAATATGGTCCACCCCACATCTCTATCTACTCATAGTCTCATAATGATTGACTTGGTTGCACCATTTCTGAACAATGAAAGACGCATAATTTTCTTTTCTTCTAGAAAATGAAGATCTCTAGAGATGCATGCAATGAGTTGTTGGAGGCTGGAATCGAATGGAATTGAAACGTGCCCAGTATTGAACCTTGATAATTGTCCTGCTCCTCCCTGCTTCTATCATGTAAAACTGTGGCTACGAACAATTGCATAGTATTCCTGCGTTGCTTGCGATTTAAATTCTCAACAATGTAACCAAAATGGGGATTGATGAAACTCATGTAAAAATATTCAAGAGACCTAAAATGGTGATTGATGTGAAATTTATTAGCGAATTGATTAGATTTGTTATACGTTTTAATTAGATTATGTTGAAGCCAAATTAATAATATATTTTCAAATAATTTGAATAATAATTAGATTATGTTGGAGACAAAGTAATAATATTTTAAAATAATTTTCAAAATAGGTAGATTTAGCAGTTTTATTATGGGATTAGTACATTGATGGACTATTTAAAGATCCTAATTACATAAAAGGATGGAAGGTATAGAATTTACACATTTGTCATGTATCAACCATATTTAGAGGGTACCCATCATATAAATTACTTAAATAGCCTCTTGTATTTACAAATTCATTTTAAATTCATTTTAATATGCAAAATTGATTAATTTGAAGGTTATAATTTAGATCCCATAATTTTAGTTTAATGATACTTTCCAAAACAAATTAAAACACCCAAACATTAAAAATAAAACCCTAAATTCCCCAAAATTGAAATCATAACCTCGGAAAATATCTCCAAATCCCGTCCAAAAATCTCCCAGATTCGAAATCAAGAACTTTTTTCGCTTCATCCATGAGACGTTTAAAACTTCACTTTTGGAGACCCTTTCTACGTTACTATAGGATATAAGATATATACACATATATAATATATACCTATATATACGAATATAATCAAGAATACTAAGAATATGAGACATTTAGAACTTCAATTTTCTATACACATAAACAAAATATATCCCCATATATATCAATCTTAACGGAAGACTAATTACAAATGGTATGGAGGATCCTTTCTACAGAATTATAAGATATATGTATACACATATAAGATATATTCACATATACGATACATACCCATATATACGAATATAATCAAGAATACTAAGACTGTAAGACGTTTAGAACTTCCATTTTCTGTACACATACATAAAATATATCCCCATATATACCAATCTTAACGGAAGACTAATAAGTATCAATGGTAAAAACAGAAGGGGACATGAGACGAGGAACACGCTGAACGGCATCGGAAACATTCAACGACGTCGACGGAAAGTTTATTCGGCAACGAAAATTTGAAGGAATAAATACCTCTTTGACGGAAGCACGCTGCACGATGTTGGAAATGTGGAATGAGATCGATGGAAAGTCTATTCGGCAACGAAAAGTAGAAGGAAAAAATCGCTCGTTGATGGAAGCTCTGAAGAAGTACACAGACGGTATGCAATTCAATACTATCGACATTGATGAAGGTATGCACGAAAAAAGGGAAGACGCCGAGAAAAAAATCAAGGTTGGAGAAGGAAGCAGCAGCAAACGATTTTATTAATTCAAAAAATGATTTCACAAATTTGGAAGTTCTTAATTGATGAGAGAATAAAATCTTTTTTTAAGGAGAGATTTGAGGAATTTAGATTGAATAATTGAATAGGATCCACAATAATTAAATGAATATAATAAAAAATTAAGGATTCAAATCTTTTAAATTTTAAAATTATAATAAAATAAAAAGCAATAAATAAGGTAGAAATGGTATTAGAATAAAATCATATATGAAAAAATCTAAAAGCGTGAATTTGGAAAACTAAAGACATTTATGAAATTAAAAATTAAAAATAGTCTTCCCAAGATATTATCTAAATAAAATAAACTTCGTATCTAAGAAGATTTAAACATTGCAGTTGCACTTGAGATTTCGTTACAATGATCTATACACAGTTTTGACAAATAAGAACAATTTTGTTGGACAAATTTACATTATAAATAAAAATTTCCCTCCTAAAAAGCTCCTTCTGAATTCCTATGTGATCCAATAGCATATAGACAAGTGGATCACAAAATTAAAAAATCCACTTATTTATATGTTACTGGATCACGCATGAATTCAAGAGAAGCTCCCTCCTGAATCTTCAGGAAGGAAGCTTTATCCAATGTCCAATGACTTAAGTTAATAGACCTAGGATGGCAAGACAATTGTATTTCGGACAAATTCCACATATAACATATATACATAGAAATTTGGGCGCACTATAGATCTTGTAATGAAGCCAACTTGAGCATAGCTCAATTTAAGACATACATTCCCGATTAAAAGTCGTGGATTCAAATCCCCACCCTCATGTATTGTACTAAAGAAAGATCTTCAACAAGAGTATCCTTTGTAGAGTGTTGCAGACGTTACCGAAATTCGTCATCCATGTAGACTAAGGGTGAACGTGTAATAACACCCGTTAAATGGGAGGATATGAATACAAAAAGCTTGCTCCAGACTATCTTTTCAGAGATTCTGCATATGGTTATATAATGCAAAATATGTATAAATATATATAAATTGATAAATCACTACTTGATGGGAAATAATAAAAATGTAGTAAAACTAAACAAATCTTACGAAAGAAATAGTGTGACAACTCAACCCAAAATGACTGGAAAATCACAGTAACAATAACTGAATAGTTGAACTTTATACACCAGCATGAGGATTACGAAACAATTTTTTCTTTCGTCTCTCCTTTAAACTTCCAACTTCATCCTCCTGCTCCACTCGGGATAAATCATAAGTCCAGTTTCGTATGGCTTGTTATCAGAAGGAGACTTATGAAGAACCGTTCTCGCTATTTTGGGGAACATTTGGCTCAAGAGCACATCAAGAAGATTTATAGAGGCTTGAAAAACTACAGTTTGGTTCAACTTTAAATGACTGAAAAATTATAGTAACAATAATTGAATAGTTGAACTTTATAGACCAGCATGAGGATTAGGTAACAATTTTTTCATCGTCTCTCTCCTTAAAGCTTCCAAATTAGGGTATCATCCTCCGGCTCCACTCGGAACAAATCATAAGTCTAGTTTTGTATGGTTTATTATCAGAAGGAGCCCTATGAAGAATCGTTCTCAGTATTTTCGGGAACATTTGACTCGAGAGAAAGAGGAAGATTTTTAGAGGCTTGAAGATGCTCCGGGAGAAGTTTAAACTACAGCTAGGTTCAGAGCCTCCTGATATCTGACCAAAGAATCTAGTAATCATCGTTATCCAGTATCCTTAACAATTTAACCCGTTTTATTCGCGTCTCTTTCATTTGTTCTATCAAAGTATGGTTTCTTATGTAAATAGTATAGGGCTTGGATGGAATGGGTTCAAACTGTGGTCACCTACCTAAGATTAGGTAGATTTAATATCCTACAATGACAACAAAAA